TAGGCTATTAGATTTAAGATTTTAACAAATGAAGCTATTATTAATGGTAACTGGAAAATTCTAAGGTATATATCAGATGATGGAGATTGTTGATTTAGTTATTGCAATCATTTTCTGGATAAAAGAAATAGCAGGTAATCATACTGTTATTATCCTCTTTTATTTCGAGAAAGAAAGATAAGCATTCAAGTGAATAATGAAATGATTGCATGATTTTCAAAAATTCTGTAGTAAAGTACCAGATGAAATTGGAAATCAGGAATTGAAGTAAAAACTTTGCATATTTTTCTCAAACAGTCTCGAGTCTCCGTCTCTTGTTGATTAACGCCTAAAAATAAGTGGATGTAACGCGTGGAAATCAAGTTAAATGAGTCCAAGTAAGATTTATTACATTAGCTAAGGCAATTAGAGAAAGTTTTGCGATTAAATTCTTTCGTATATATATATATATATATATATATACAAACGAAAGAATATATACGGAACCTTCTTAGCTGGTAGCAGCGCTGCATGCATTGGTACAAAGGATATATACGTTCTTCCGTAATGTCGCAGTGCTACAATCGATGTATTTAGTGTAGTTGGCATGTCAGTTTTCCTAATCCAGAGCCTTGTGGATTAGCTTCAAAGGGTGATGGATATAGAAGGAGATAAGTCGTAAAAATACTGTCACGGATTTGATAAATTTTGGTTTTTTTTAGTTTTCGTTTTGTTTTCTTATTACAGCATTTGCAACAAACGGTAGCGCAAACGCAGCAGCAAAATGCCATTCATTTGATAACTACTGGATCCGTTGGTACCGGTCATACTCATTATCATCATCCTACAGTGGTATCAATCGCAAAATCTGGAGTGACACCGCCACCATCACTATCAGCAGCAGCACCATCACCACTTCCACCTCCACCACCGCCACCAACACTGCCACCACCTCCACCACCACCACCACCACCACCACCACCACCACCACCGCCATCACTGCCGTCACTTCCATCATCACAATTAGCATCACAACCACTGCAGTCACCTTTGCAATCACAGATAGCTGCAGTTCATTCCGGTGCACATATTGCTAGCACGATTGTTACTAAACCATCATTAAGTCCAAGTAAAATTGTTTGCACCACCATTCGTAATCAGCAGTCACACTTAGGTCATGTCACGAGTGCAGCATCTGCGATGCATAACTTTGCACATGAAGCAAATAAGCCGATAGCTGCAGTAACACCACTATCACTTCCCACTTCTGTTCTTGTACCACCAACTATTGCTGCTGTCAATCCGGCTCTTTTTGCTGCAACAATTCAGCAGCAGCAGCAGCAACAACAACAACAACAAGTTACACAGCTGCAGGCAGTGGCAACAGTTGCACGAACGGCAACAACCACTTCGGCACCACAGTCTCAAGTTCCGCAATCAGCACTTCTGATTGGCATCGATACGATAGCACACGATAAAAAAACTACAACATCAACCGGATCCGTATTGGCAACCGTGGGTACTTCCAGAAAGAAAAATTTTCAACCGGATAGTCGATGGAGTGGTTTGGATGAAAAGCTTTTATTCCTCGCTGGACCACGACTAAAGTAAGTAAATATGCTAAGTCCGGTAGAAACTAATTGATAAAGTCTGGAACTGATATAGAAATGAAATTACTTAATGGGAGATCGAGAATATCATACAGCAACAAGTTACATTCGTTAAGCTGTAGTGCAGTTCTTGAAAATTTTCTCATCAAAGTTTTGAAGCATAATTTGGATATTTGAAAGGAGGAAATTATCTGAGAATTCAGTAATTTGAAGTTTGTTCGAAGGTGAAAATGTGACGTTTCGGTTGTATTGTGAGATTTCACTGGTGCGGTAGCAAGGAATGAATGAGCGGAAGGGTGGGGAAATTTTGTTAAATACTTCGAAATAATTATTAATCATACTGGTTTCCAAAGCACCTCTCATGCATGCCTTTTTTTCTTGGTATATTGTTCTTTTTAAAACGAAATTTTATGGATTACATTTTGAAATTTTTTGAAAATTTTAATCATGAGATGTTTTTGGAATTTAGCTTTATGCATGTTGCACATTTGTTCATCATTATTTTTGGATATTTATTCGACTCCGTCGAAACTCTGAATGTCGATACGGCCTTGCGTTTAGTTTCTTAAAATAGACTCAAATATCAATAGTCTTACCATTACGAATGATGGTCTCACTGATTCCTTGAACTTAATCATTGAGCACCAGGGAATTCTCAACTTAATGATCAGGGAATATGATTTTTTCTTTTTTATTTTTATTTACCAACTTTACCAAATCTTTATACTGAATGAGCAAAATTGTATCTTATTATGATTTGCAATGTGTGTAAAAAAAAGAGATTGAATGCTAAACTAGAACATATATTGAATAGAAGTACTGATTAAGTGTTATGGGATACTTATTTTTATTGTTATATCTTTTCTTTTTTAAGGATATTGCGTAGACGAATCTGTCCGAAGAAAATTGGCCGCCGTGTCGCATTGCACCCGTGCCGAGGTAGTGATTTCGTTACTAAACATTGGCCTAATTTACAGGGTTTTTTCATTTGATATAGCCTATGGTACTGATAGCGTGAAACATGTTATGAAAACGGATTTTCTATAATGTTGATAAGGGCTTAAATTAGACCACAGTTATGAATTTTTATCGTTTTGAGTTATTTTTGACAAATTTTAATAGCATATTTTCCATTTTACTCGCCATATGTTTTATGTATGTGTGTATGTCTGCGTGTTATTTCTTGAATTTTCTTATTTCTTACAACAATGGAATAGTTCATTCTTGTTGTTGCAAGCAGTGGATTATTCCGATATTTCACGACCACATATTGATGCAACTAGTTATATGTAATGTTCAAGTATCAGAGCAGCTTGATCGGGCTTTTTGAAAACTCCTTTAAAAAATTTGCAAATATTAATAAAGCAGCGAATAATATTATCGATCAAATTGAATTTTTCTATTTCATCATTAAATTGGCAGTTATTTGAAAACTACCATCGATTTGAAAATTGCAGTTGATTTATGGAGTTATTTTAAGTAATACTTGTATCTACCTTTTCTGTACATCATCCTATTATCTCTTCATTCACATTTTTTACCATTTGTCTTTGAAATTTAGAGTTTTTATGGGGAATTTTTCTTTCAAAGTTCATACAACACCTTTTTTGTTCATTGGACTCAATATTGAGAATTTCCTTATTCAAATTTTGGATGGCTCGTTTTTCTTTGTAATAACATTTGTTCCTCTTATTGGAAGAGTTAACTTTTGCTTTTTTCCATATTTGGAAAAAAAGAGAACGGTTTTCTAGAATTTCCCGCAGTGCATCCAATTTTTTGTTATGTTTTCCATACCAGTTTTATTGTTGCATGTTGGTATATCATTGTTTTTACTTCGTTATTCAATATTTGCAGAAAGTTTTAAATTTTATTACGCATCAACTTGAAATAATTTGCATCTATGGTTGTTTGATGTTTTTTTGAAAAATCCTTAGGTAATAATATTGTTTGAATACGATTTCATCCATGGTATAATTGATTCAAAATATCATTTTAATTCACAATTAATGCTTCTGTTATAATCCCGTTTTCATTTTTTCGATGTTTTCCCATCAGTTTACGGTATGACAGTGCATTTCACTGATTACGACGTTTAAAGCTAACTGATGTCTGTATTAATAATTTTTGATACTATAAAAAATAATTAAAAAAAAGTTCCATGTGATTAATGTTGCTTTCTTACATCATGAAAACAGAAATTTTATTATTTTTATGTCTGATTTGTGGAATTTATCAATCACTGATCTCTATCATCAATATCGCTAAGGATCTTTTAAGGATTACAAAATCTATTCAATATTTTTTGGCTAATTTAAGATAATGCAAAATTGATTGGATGAGTAGTGTGAAAACTGCAAATAGCTGTTATTAGTGCATTAAGTAATCGTTAGACTCATTCGATATCTGGACTATATTACTTGGAATAATTGAAATAACTCGGTGACGCATTATAATCAATCGATATTTTGGTTTAAAATTTTCACTCGGTGATTCCAATTCATCATGGAGAATATAAAATGGGTAAATTGTAAATGCTGTCATTATTAGATGCTTCAGACTTATTACCGGCAGTAATTATTTTAAAATTTGAGATCAGAGTAATAAGCTTGGCAAAGCTACTACTGCAGCAATATCACTTCAAAGCGAATGTTTCACATATAGAAGTATCCAATGTAACTAAATTTCTATCGCATTTGCTTATCTATATATAACATGTGACCATCAATTATCGCATATTTTAATCTTCAACGAGAAATGATATAATTTGAAAACAAAGAAATTCGTGTGGCGAATTGTATTAAGTAATGCTATTCGAAGACTACTCCTATAATCTTTCTTGCAAAAAGAAAACGAAAAAGCTGTTATCCAATTTAAGAAAATTATGTGTAATAAAGAACTATTTAAGAGATCAGGGAAATAATTGGATAGAATATAATAATTTAAGAGATAAGAATAGTCATAATATCATCTATTTTTGCAATATTATTATTATTAACTTAAAGCATAGGAATTTTTCAATCAATTGTTATTATCCTATCCAAAGTGTGCTACGATATATGCCATAACATTAAATTATAAATATACCATATTTTGAAGCATCCATCCATTCATCCATCGTTTCTACAATTTTGGTATGAAAAAAGTCGTAATTCATACAGTATAAACGATCGATGGTACAATAATAAATTCATTTTTATTTTATTTAAAATTACTTTGAAATTATCAATGTGTAAAAACATATTTTCCATTGCATACTTAATGATTTTTATTTGATATTTCAAAGAATAAATTCTTCTTTACTATGCGACTATGATAGGATACAAAGCGAATTACTTTCTAATTTTCCTATTATTTTTTTTACAAATTAAATTCATAATTGTAAATTTCGAAGCATTTGAAAAAATTTCATAATCATATTCCTTCTTTTGATGATGCACTCGGTTTTGTCGTTTTCTGAAAATTTATTTACAATCCTTTTTAAACAAATTTGATGAAAAAAAAGTTCACAAAATTTTTTGTTGTTAAATTCGTCTAAAAATCTTAAAAGCTTTTAAACTTTAAAATCAAACATCATACTAATATAATCAGATAAAGAATGAACTAAGTACTTTGGTATTCAAAAATTGGATAACTGGTTTAATTTTAGATATGATATATATCATATCTATTTAGGCTTATATATATGGTAATTCATAACTTATATTCGTATAATAGAATAAGAAAATTAGTGTTCATAAGAAAGGTGGAAAAATACCACAATATTTATTTATTATTTTTTGTTAGAAGAGATAAAATTATCGCTCTAATAATCAATCTAATATTTCCATTCTTTTTTCTTCTTTAATCCTAAAATATATAACTCATTTGCAAATTAGCAGCATTAACAAATCTGTGCAAGACAAAAAGGAAATATAAATTGAAATTTTTTAAATAATCATTTCTAATAATTAATTTTGCTAATGAAATAATGATAAATTTTAACTGAAAAAAATATTTGTAGTATAACTGTAATATAAAATAAATCAAAGCATATATAATCAATGATGGCTTTGTTGTAACAAAAGTATTAATGAAACATATTTTTATTAATAATAATACCAAATGTATTATTATTACTCACCTTAATTACAACAACTTTAGTCTCTTTATTGCAACAGTAAAATAAATCGCGTAATATTATTAGTGTACTTTTTCTGAAAACATTAAATTGATTAAAATGATATGAACAAAACAAAAAAGCATTGTAACATTTGTTATCAAATGTGGACTGAATTTTGACTTTTTAAAATACGTTTACTATTTATAACTTTCACATTGTTTTACCCAATTAACATGGCATCCGAAAGCTTAACTGATTTCCTACACATATATATATATATATATATATATTACCTGATCTTAAAATCGTTGATTACTATATATTATCTGATCTTAGAATCGTTGATTTTATTCATATTCATGAAATATGGAATGGATGATGAATTACCATCAGTAAAGTATGATATGATTATTCAGTCATAATAGGTGACAAAAAGGAAGAAAAAAGATACCTGACTAAACCGCTGAATGTTAGTAATGTAATTGAATCAACAGCATCGGTCAAAGTAAAAAGCACTGAAGTAAGCCATGTAGTCCAACGACCTCCATTAATTCCAACCGTTATCACCACCTGCCCCATGACAAATATTATAGCGTTACAGATGCATGGCAAAATTAACCTGAATTTGATAAGTTTGTTATATTTGATCAAATTGTCGAATATTATTTGCTTATTTAATCGATTGGAAACTTTTCACAACCGATCATTGATCTTTTTAAACAAAAAAAAAACGATTTTTCGATCTTTAAAACATTTCCTAAATGCTTTAAATATTCTTAAAAAAATTATCTAAATGATCTTCATGTTTTTAAAAGGTTTAAAAAGAATGAATAATAATTTGATAATAATTTTTAAATTCATTAGAAATAACTAGTTAGTTGGTAGAGGGATGGATTAGTTAGGTCAAATGAAATGATAAAATAATAATTAGTTATGTAAGTTATAATCATTATTATAAAATAATAATTAGTTATGTAAGTTATAATCTTCATAAATACAGCAATGAGTCATCTAATAAACAATATTTGAGACAAATAATTTTTACAATATTTCTAATATTTTTTTAACATTTACACTCAATAAAATGAATAATATTGTTTGTCACACTAACAATTGTTTGTTTTCTAAATTTTGTTGATTTAATTTTGCATAATTATAATTAATTCAAACAAAACTTACTTCGTTTCGGAACACATATGAACGTTATTAGCTGCAAATACATTCCAACTTCGTATTGCATTTGGTTGTATTGCATTTGGTGTAATTCTATTGTTAAAGTTTTTTCGAAATTTATGATTATATTTAAATAGCAAAAAAAATGCACAACTGAAAATAAAATTAAAATTAAGATTAAAAACAAAGCGAAAAATTATTACCTGATAAATCGGTAAACTTCATTAATTAATTGAAAATTCTTAACATTTTTAAGCTAAACAATTAAACAAGGAATAGCTTATCAATGATTACGTATGAAGCGGTAAACTTCATTAATTAATTGAAAATCCTTAACAGTTAAACTTAAGTTAAACAATTAAACGAGTAATAGCTTATCAATCATAATTTTTATTTATTTTTTCAAATATTTTAATTGTATCGAAATTTCTAAATTTGTAAATATTTGCAATTTAATTAGATAAAAAAAATCATAAATGGTAGAATTAGAATATTAATATTATATTGATTCATTAATCCGGATGGGAAAAATATTATTATATCATTGATGAACTGAAATAGATTGGTCACTAATGACTAAGCGATCATTGATGATAATTTATTTGAATTCTATATTTTCAAAAATAATAATTTACCATATAAATGAATGGCCTTTAGGCTACTCTTTAGGCTACTCTCTATATGGTAGATTAATTCAAAAAAAAAATATTATAATTTCGTAATTCAATATGTATTTATATATATGAAATGATCAGATTTTCACGAAATATCTATTTATATACTTTAGCAAATAATTATTTTAAGTAAATAGTTAGAATAATTATTTACTTACTTCTTATCTTATCCCTGCTTATTTACCACTTATTTGCTTATTTACCACTTATTTGCTTGTTTACCACTTATTTGCTTATTTACCGCTTATTTGCTTATTTCCTCAATACTTATCATTTATTTCCTCGATCACTTATCACTTATCACTTATTTCTTCATCACTTAATCACTTCATTAATCATATTTCAATCTTACCCATATAAGGAAAATGTTGCAATAAATATTAGCAAGTGAAAAATGAAGAAAATTTGTGATTTGCCGCCTTTCAAATACAACTCTATATTTTCCGCCACCATGCCATAAACACTTGCCTCATAGTAAAATGTTACGTACCACGGTTGAAGATTTAATACTATCGACTGTAAAATATCAAATTTATAATTATTTCATTTATTTCTATTTAATAAAAAACAAAAAGATTTATTCGATTGCATTTCATTTGTTTATTTATTTACAAATAAAATTGATTATTTTGAAGAAAGAGAAAAAGAGAGAGAGAGAGAGAGAGAAAAAAGTGTGCTGGTAATTTTAAAAAAATCGCGAATAAGAGAAAAAAAAGCATTATGCTAGAAAATAAATAAATAAAATATTCTCTATCTTTTCTTCTTAAAATATTACTGAAATTTGAAAATTAAACAATTAGCAGCTTATTTTTATACTATTCAATTTTCAAAAACTGGAATTAATAGTAAAATATTATGGAAAAATTTTCTAAATTTAAATTTCACATTTTAACAATACAATTTCTCTTATTGAATTATCAGAAAACCTGTCACCTAAAATGAAATAATGCAAAAAAGGTTATTTGTTTCATTAAAAAAAAAGGTATTGAATTACGTGGAAAAAATAAATTGGTGTATTTTTAATTGAATATCCATGTTATCGTGGTGTTAGCTAATCTGTTGCCATTTCTAATCCATTGCTAAATTAAATTAAAATTAAAAGAGAAATAAGAAATGTTAAAAAAAAAAGTTACCTGTATTAAAGCAATTACATAACACATAAAACATAACATATAAACGGTGAAATTTTGCTGTTTCCTAAATTGACATGGACGGCTAATAGCTGCATAACGTGTCCATGACAACAACAGTATATGATAACACATTGAAAACCACATCGAATCACTGTACGTCTAAAATATTAAATGTTATCTATCCATGGAAAAAAATTTTATAATGTGCAATTATTGATTGATTTGATTGTAATTAAAAACAGCAATTATTGATTGATTTGTTTGTAATTAGAAATAGCAATTAATAATTAATGTTATCGAGGAGAGAATAATAGTAGCAGCAATTTTCGGTGAACATTTCATATTGAAAAATTGATTATAATATAAAATTGACATTAATTATTTTAGAACAAAGAAAGAAAAGAAATGAATAAAATTTAAGGTAATACTTGAAAAAGTCGTCTTCCATATATTGGAGTTTGTTTTTTCAATAGGATAAGTATGCCCGGATTAAACGCATGATTTATTAATAAAAACATATTGTTAATTGATGAGCTAAGCAAATATAGGAAACCCGTAGTTGACTGCAAATTTTAATTTATCAATTATAATTGTAAGAATATGATAATTTTCTATGAAGTCTATTTCAAGCATACAATTATAAACATATAGCTAATTAAATCATCAATGATCAGTCATTGTAAGAAAAATCCATATCAGTTATCAATAATTAAATTATTTCATTTTATTTCATTTATCTAAAACTAAATAATGCAAATTTCGACAAGACTTTTTTCTTTAATATTTCATTCATATATGAAATAATAATTAAAGTTAGCCTAATAATAAATAGTATTCAAAACAATGACATTTAATTAATGTTTATTTAGTTCTATTTTAAATATTTATTTTGCTTTTGTAATAATCGAATTTACTCATATCATATTTTAATCATTTCAAATATTTTAATACATTTCAACAACATTTAATGCTAACAAAAACAATTCGATCGCTTATAATCTTATAATCTTAACATTGAATTCAAATAACTTACATGAGATTCACGATATAAAGCAAATGCGACAACAATATAGATTGATAAGAAAATTATTGCTAACAAAGTTAGCGTTCCACCAGCAATTATATCATCCAAATTTAGCGGTTTATTGTACCAATCATTCGATGTCATACCTTTTAATATTATTTCATGAAAAATTATTTTCCAACTTATTCAAATTTACATAAATGCAGTAATAATGATTAATAATAACGAATTATTAATTATTAGTAAAATCATGGGAAAAAAAACTATTAAAAAAAGAAAAATTGATATAATATAAATATATTTTGGTTGAATAAGTTAAAGTTTCATTATCTATTCATAATATCTCTAATTTATCACAATTTTAACAAATGCAATTTCGTAGTGTTTGCATTTAAGCTATAATTTAAAGATTATAACTATAACTCAAAATTCTATTCGTTAACAAATAAATTGTATTCGTCGATAAATGTTTTCATATTCAAATTATATTCGTTAACAAAATATATTCATAGTTAAAATTTTTTAAATATTCAGCAATAAGAAAAACAAAACTGCTAGAAAGTATTGTTGAAATTTTGATAAAATAAATAGCGATAAGATGTTGATGATATCGGGCGATTATTTTTATCGCTTAGAAAAATGTGAAAAATAATATTTTAATCAATTTTAAGACTAATTAAAACTGTTCGATATCATTGAATTGTAATAAAGAAATAAAATAAAAGCGAAATAACCGATTCAATTCATTTAGAATATAATAAAATGTTCATAAAGCAATTAGCTATTTCTCTATTAATAAAACAAAATCGAAAATTCTAATGGATGATGTTAGAAAATAAAATGATATTAAAAATTTTGCAATAGAAATGATTATTTTCTATTGCAAAATTTCTAACATTATTTTACAATTAATTACTATATATTAATTATATTTATTAATTATATTTATGAACATTTTATATTTTATTATATTATATTTATATAAGAAAAAAAAGAAATGTGCTGCTTACATTACGGTATGAGGAGAAAGCATTACAAAAGTTTACATTTCTGGAAATTGTATAACATTTATTCCGGAACGCGGAACGTTTATGAATTCACAAAAATGATTTAATTATTTAGCTCAAAAAAGAAGTAGTAATAATGAATGTCGTTGACACAAATACCTTAATTACAAATCCATCAAATTGTAAAGATTTAATTGAAAGCAATTTTTTCTTTTCAAACAATTTGCTTATTTAGAAATTTTAAGCAACATGCTCATTAAAAATTTTAAGCTAATTAGAAATTTCAAGGGAACATTTCTTTTAATATTTGAAATTAACTGAGTTCAAATTTTGGAATAAAAAAAAAAAGTTTTATCATTATTGTAATTATCAGATCGGCCTAATTAATAATTATGCTATAGTTTTCAAAAATTTCAAAAATATTTTATGGAATATTTTCTGAAAATACATGAAACATAAATTTTGGATTATTTGCAACAAATGCTATTCTCTCTGAAAAATAAATCTATTAATAATTTCAAAGAAGTAATAATTAAAATTTAAGATATTGATTTTAGTTTTTTATATTGCGAAATAAATGTTAGACAATCTAAAATCTAAAATGTAATATAATGATTTAATTTTTGCTGAAAAAGCAAAAAGCAATTAAAGTGTTGAAAGGGAATGCTATGTTCGTGCATAGTATGAAACGAATAAGCGTTGTTGAAAATTATTTAAAATAAGCATTAATAAAAGTTTTGTATAATCTTCGATTAATTTCTAAAATTTATAAAATACTTCCTTGTCATGCAACGAAATGATTTGATAATTTATCACATAGAACATGCATATATATATATATATATTTATATTCGAATAAATAATTCTGTAATGTATAATTTAGTCAATAATTAATCAGATTACTGATTAAATTATATATTACAGAATGATTTATTCGAATATAACAGAAAGAGAGCTAGAAGTGTGATAAATAGTAATTTCAGCTGATTTGTTACCAGCTGAATTTAGTATTTATCACACTTCCGGCTCTCTTTCGAATGCAAATTATTTTCATATTTATTAATTAAACAAATCATTTTTGTGATAGAGTAAAAGACGCAAATATCATTGCAATTACGGTGGATTATTAATAACATTTTAAGCAGAAAATGAAAGCTATGAATACTTAATATATTTATTTATACCTTTCAATATGATAGTCATTTTTATTTCATATCCAACAATTAATAATTGATTTAATTATTGGTCTCAAATTATAGAACTCGTACACTATTTCCATTCTTTACTACTGAAAGTGAAGGAAAAAAGACAAAAAAAAATTTTTGTCTGCAAATTTTTCAACATATCAAAAAATAAGTTTCTTTTCTTTTGAAATATTTCTCAAAAATTTTTTTAAGCTAAATTTTATAAATCAATATTAAGTCTTATTCGATAAATTTTACTTCGCAAACGAATAATTTTAAGAAGAAATTGATAGAACTAAAATATTAGTGTATTGAATAGAATAGTAATACAAGAATACGATAATAATAAATAGGAAAAACGAAGAAGAACTTCTGTCCAGAAACCTTTCGATATATATTTATATAATTTTCTTTGTATTAGAATATTTATATATATATAATTTTCTTTCTAAAACATTTCCTATTTGTGATTTAATGCAAAATTTTTTCTATAAAATTTATTTTGTAAAGAAATAATTTAAAAATTTTTTAACAGAATAAATGAAATATCAATGTATTGAATGAATCTTTAGTATAAGAATTTAAATTAATTAAATTCAGAAGAATAAGTCACAGAATAAGTTTTTAGTTGCTAAGTCAAAGTAAGAAAAAGTTTCTTTTTGCAGCCGAGAAAATTAATACCTGAAAACTTTTAAAAAAGTGCAAACATTTTATTATAAGAATTGCATAAAAAATCAAAAATAGCGCTGCTTCTAAATCTTTGCATTTCAGAGCGAAAATTTGCATATTGGTGATTTTTGATGCTTGCGTGGACAAAGATGTTTACTCGTTTGATGGGTTGCCGGTTTTCCGGTTTGTGGTGATTAGCGGCAATGATTGTATGTTTGTTGTTAAAAGGAATACCATAGAAGCTTCTCGTTTCAAACAGTATCAACAGTAAACATTGGCTATGAGAAATAAGATGACATGTAATAAGATAACTCTTGTAATAAAGTTATTAATTCGTAGAAAAAGCATGATTAGAAATACAAATTCATATTTTTAACGAGGTTGTAGTAGAATGATTTAGAAGAGTTGATTTGATATGTATTGTTTAAGTATAGAATAATTGTTTTTCATGTGTTGACCTATCGTAGGTAGATGTGATATGGTGGATTGCTGGTTTGATGATTTGTATGGAAGTATATGGTTGTTGTGTATTGTATGCAGGTGAAAGCTTCTTATACTATACAAGAACTTATAAATGAGCTTTTTACTTAATGTATCAACTATGCTCATTTTTCACATTTTTTACGGTATCGATATTGTTAAATGTTGCAGGTAGTAGCTTCTGAATATCATTTAATGCATGCGATAATTATGCCGCGTTTTTTATTCCTAGTAATGTGAGTTTTTCAGCTTCGAATGCTTGGAGAAATAACACTGCAGCTGTTGAATTATCCTAATTAATGAATAGCTCCCAAGATAGTGCAAGTGTTGATCGTATGCCACATCTGAAGCAACTGGTTCTGAGCAGTGATGACGGTACATCAACTTCTGAGCAAGATGTGGGTATACCTTATGAAGTTTTAAAAAATAGGGATTCAGTTGTTAGCAGAAATTGGGAATGTCAAAATAATGCGAATAGTGGTTACGAATCACCTATATATGTATAAGCATGGTTGGTCACTCATTTATTGATAATAGAATATAATTAGTTTAGACGATAATATTCATGTTCTCTAGACATTCAATTTTTTCTCTTGCAGCCTGGTGAAGGTTGTAATACATTATTCTATGATATTTAAGTCATTAAACTCTACTCTGTGTGTTTTACGAAGTTGGATTTCATTTTTTTCTGACAGTAAATTGACATTGAACGAAGGGAACTGAGCATGAAGAGAGAAAAAGAATTTTAAAAAGCAAATGGGGAATCCATGAAACTTAGATATTCAAAAATCTCTTTTGCAGGAAAAAAATGATAGTTTAAACAGCATGCCTGCAAATGGTGTGCCCGATACACCATTGGGACAGGCTGTGACAAATTTGTATGCATCCTGGGTGCAACTAATTAGTGATTTATCAGCACGAACAGGTTATTTGCCCCCAACGCTGGAGCATATCAAAGAAGTTGCTGAATGCGCAGTCCGTCAGGTTGTTTCATTTTAAGAAACTATGCTTAATGTGAATTAGTCCTACTGCTATTATATATTGCTTTTGTGATTTGTGATTCTTTTACTCATATCATGTGTATTTCTTTCATTTCATAGTTTGCGCTCATAATTTTTTCTCTTTCAATAGTTTTTATTAATACAATTTTTGTTATCTTGTTAACATGCATTCTGTTCGCTAAAGGAATATGGAGTTTTCACTGGTCATAAAATGATTTAATTTTTTTTAGTTAAAAGATTCTTGTCATGACTTAACTCGTGAATTTGCTCGAGTTGGTCTTGAGTGGCGTCTAACACACCCGAATGAGGCTCTTGCTGAGGTATGTTTGTTTAATAAGAATTCCAGAGTTTTCTTATAAGTTAGGTAATAGTAGTTGTAGTGAAATTTCTGCTTGTATGTATTTTAGGATTTAGCAGATTATGATCAAGCCATTTTACGACAAGAATCGTTGCTGGAACGAGCTGCTGGCATTATTGAACGACGATTGAACGATTTAGCGACCGAGAAAAGTTCACAAGAATTTGAATAGCTGTGTAATATAATCGGTCATTGGACTATGGTTTCAAGCAGAAAATAGTTTCTCAAAGGGATGAAAATTTTTACTGTTGAAAATGCAGAATGATGACTGGCATCTATTCACATTATAAGGATCGTTGGTGCTATTATCGATAAAAGAAAGCTTTTAACTAGAGAAAGAAAATGTAAAAAGTGGAAGGAAGTGCTTCGAACAAATTATTACTGTGAAAATGAATAGTTCATAATCTTTTTTTTGTGATATGCTCTGTTTGTATGTAAATAAAATGATGAATGGTATTCAGAGTTTTATTTAACGGTCCTACAACCGCGTTGTACGTACTCTTTTTGTCTTTACATAATCACAGTTTTTCTCTATCCTAATGAGCTTTTTTGACTTTGAGCAGTGGGCGGTGTACTTTATACTCATTTTTGCCAATATATAATGGTATTGTTGTTTTTGGACGCACCAATACAAATTCGAAATTAAAGTGAAATGTGCATACATTGAGATATGTTTATTTTATTTCCTAACTACTGCCACATCTTATATAAATTATGTGTTAGAAATTTGATCATAATCTGATGCTTGAGTAGATAATATGTGAGTATCAGCGGGAGAGAATGTGAAACTTCCGAGAGCGGTCTTGCATTTTGTCGCAACAGGAAATGAAATTTTATAAGAGGGAAGAAGAAAAAGTGCATAAAGAGTGGTGTGTTTGGTATAAGTAAGTTATGATTATCTGAGAAATTCAGTACTTAAGAGATGGGTTTTCAAATTTCGAAATTTTGTAAGGATTGGAACCGGGTAGTCCTTCCTAAGATAAAAGATTGTAATGTTGTTGCAGGAAGAATTTAAGTCGACGGAAAGAACAGCAAAACGAAAATGTGGCATGAGGCTCGTCGGCAAGAAAAATTGATACGATCACAAATGATTGATAGCGTCAAACGGAATGAAAGGCGCAAGCAATTCTATGAGAATGTTGTAAGTTCCACATTCAATATGATTTAGAAAGTTTTCTAGGCATTTCTATCAAATAATACAAACAAGGAATGAATAGTGATTAGATTTGGTTGAAGCGCACGACTGATTTCGAAAGCGAATAATCCTATGACTTTATGTCTGCTATTAGCTGTGTTGTATTCTTATCATTATTATTGATTATTATGATTATAATCGCAATTATTATTATTGATTATTGTAATTGTAATCACAATCACTAATTATTGTTATTGTGATTGGTTATCTATTATCTAATATTATTCATTATGATTATTTCTGTTATTACTATTTTTACCATTATTAAATATTTGATAGGGTATTCCTGCTATTCATACAGTAGCTAAAGGTTTTGTTTGTTCTTACTTATGTAAAATGAGAGTGTTACAGAGGAAAGATCCTGAGCAATTCATGCAAGTCCATGGCCGCAAATGCCAAATACACATGGATCCGGCAGTAGCACGTGCTGCCGAAGCATCAAGCATCCTGTGCGCGTTTAACATTAGTAATTTGCTCGTCTTTTGTATAAAGCATACTTCTCACCATGGATTCAATCCGTTAAATATCTTTTTTTATTTATATCTTTTCTGTCCTCTGATTATTTTCGTTAAATTTTGCTCGAAATTAAGTTCAAATTTGGCATCTCACTCAGTAGTTTAAGTCTCGTTTGTGGAGTAAAAGAAATCTATAATGAAATTTATCAAATTAGAAATTGTAGTTATTCCACGAATACAGACCAATTTTAACCATCATGAGGTGCTTGTAAGTACTGTAATTATAGATTATTAATAAATTATGTGTATTGGTGAGGCGAGACGGATGGACATGGGGTTCATACCATTTAGGGTGATATAACAGTTGATGGAAAGATAGTAGGTAAGAGCTGGATGAGAAGTAAAAGAAATGCCAGAGTAAGCATTGTAATTAAAGGTAGGATTGTTTCCATGGCTCAAGTCTTCGCGTTTTGTTATTCAACGGTATTTTTAATTTTCTTAATTTGATGGTAGCCGCGAAGAATATCGCCAAATTTCATAACATCAGAATTTGATCTATGGATTTGCAGGAGGCGATGGCAAGGTGATCCGAATGTACTGATTGATCGGTTTGATGTTCGGGCGCATATGGACCATATTCCTGAAACGAAGTCAGATGATATTGATAAACGGTAGGTTCTGCTATAAGTTATGCAATGATGAAAGCTCTTTTACATGTACTATCATTCGGAAAGGTTGAAGATGTGAAATTATCTCACTTAGTTTTCTGTAGTTATTTTGTTTTGCAATTCAAAAGTCTCAAAACCTTCATTAGGAACTATTTATAATGATATTTTTCTTTCTTCGTTATTTGTGTGGTTTTATTAAATGTTTTTTTCTCTCACTGATTCTCTTTTTTTGCAGTTTTGGGTTCTCTTAAGCCTTGTGCAGCTGAAATCGGTGTGAAAAAAATCTTGTCTAAAAACAAATGGTTTACGTATATACTACGTTCAACTATGTATAGGGAGGAAAAGATAGGGGGAGAATTGAGAATTCTCCATTTTTTTTTGTTTCAAAAGTTTTGAGCAGAATTAATTGATCGCAAAAAAATAATGGATTGCAGATCTGTGGTAGACGTTGAAGAATTGCAATGCGAATATGAGAGGTATCGAATCCTTGTACTCAATGAATTTGATAGAGGTATGCATCAATTACTGTAATGTCCAAAGTCGCCCGGATTGTCCTATCATCGAGTGCAATGCATCTTCCGATAATCGTGAGACATGGTTTGCGAGAGCCACTTACCCTTCATCAGGTCCTTCATGTACACGGAATAGGCGATCAGTTATTCAGTTTACAATTTCTGTGTCTAACACTTTAACATCTATTGAAAGTCCCTGGAGTATATCCTACTGAACCTCAACGTTGCCGATCCGTTATATACAGGTTGCATTTTTTAGCGAGAGTTCCATTTATTACCGAATAAAAAAAAATGTAATTTGAATTTATTTTGCAGTGTCGGAGAAAACGTTTTTGAAAGAAATAGCGGCGAAGGAATTTTGGCCGGATGAATCAACTTCAACATCACTTGCACGTGCTGAGCAAGAAAAGAAAAGATTGCTGTAAAATTTACAAACTTTTAAAAGAAATTTTAAAGATTTTTTTTTCTTGGATTTGTCCCTAGAACATTCTTAGGTTTTCGAAATTTCCAAGAAATCCATTCGTTGATTTTATGCCATGTTCTCCAATAGATGAATAAAAATATACATTTCATGTTCCAACAAAGCATGGAGTCAAAAGATCTTTACCAGATTTAATTATTCACTTTAAAACTTTCAACTCTTAAAGTCATTTTTAGGCGGGATAGAAAGGCTGCTGTGGCGTTTACATATGGTGATACGCAAACGGTGCAGGGTAAAAGCACGGAAACGGATGATTCTGATGAAGAAGACGAAATTGTTGATTCTGATGAGTTCGGTAAATATTTCTGAATTTTTTAGAAAGGCTTTTAAATTTTCGGGCCGTTTTTCATGCTTGAAAAATTATATATGCTGTCATCAATATTGATTATTAAAACAGTTCGTTGGGATCACTTCCATAAAATAATGCCAAAGTAATTACAGTCTTCTACGACTCATTTCTATAAATTTATGTTATATAAAAGTAATGTGAATTTTTAAGATGATAATAGTAGTAAGTGACAGAAATTAAAGCAGTTCGTTGAGACCACTTACGAGGAAAACTGAACTTCACATTGAAACCGTGTCAACTGATTCAGTCATTTGGACAGATTTTATTATAGATTTGAAATTGGATATAGACACATTAGACGCTGAGCAACGGCGAAATTTAAACAAATTGGGTATTCGTTATGGCATAAGTTCCGGTGCATTCTCGAGTTTGTTAAAAATGGATCGTCGTGAGCAGGATGAAACGCATCAGCTGAAAGAAATTGAAAAAGCCAAACTGGCACTCGCTGTCTGTAATTAATTTCTAGAATAGTCTTTTTTCTTTTGAAATAGAATTTGAATGGTCATCGACACAGACCATTCACCTCATTAATGGCGATAGCCATTTGGTTTCTCAAAACAGACACCAGAATCCGAATTCTGTTCGATTCTGCTAGTAATAGTGAGGTTTGGTATGGAAATGAACAACGAGCGGATGGAAAGATAAGGAGCAAATTGTTCAAAAATTTGTTCAAAACTAATTTGTTTGTTCTGAATTTTTTGGTGTCAGTGAATGAGATTATTATGCTTCACATCAAAAATACCTGTTATAATATCGCGTCTTAGTCCTATGACTACGATATGAAAAAGTATCTTAAGAAGTAGCATTTTATACTCACATTATCGGTTTAATCATCTAAAACGAGCATCACTATATTGTCAATCATTTATCCGTGTTTTTTTGGTAAAAAGAAAGTTTTTATGAATTGATTTGCACCCTTGAAGAGATGTTTTGTTTGTGTGACCAGACTTACTGTTTTTGAGTTTTCTTTTTTGTTTGAGTTTAATGTTATTTGACTGAAGTTTCAGGGCCGACAAGCGAAAGCTGAAAGAGCTGTTTTGAAAAAAAAGCGTGCACTGATTGTTGGTAAAGGTTGTTTAAATGAGGAAGCCACGACCACATTGCTGTCATTTGTTACTAAAAGTCAGAAGGAACACATGGAAACGTTAGTTTCTCGTTATTTTTTCGATGAATGAAATAGTAATGAATTTAAATTGTTATAACGATTAGAACATCAATTTAGTATATATTTCGTTTTTCCTAAGAACCCTTAAGATTGACAGTTTCTCATTATGATTATTGTTCGGATGCGTAATGATAAATAATAAGTAATGATAGTTTGAGTGAACATTCAGAAAAATCCTACAATCTTGGTGGCCACATAGTATTGTTTTATCCAAACATTAGATATAAGGAAATGGATTACTCTCAACAAGTACTATAATGGTTTAGGTTCGGAGATCAATTACTGAGACGGAGAAGAAAGAACACTTGTGCATAGTTGTTCAGAGTGCAAATTATAACAAAGAGTAGCGTCTAGTAATGTTTTCTGAATAAGTTTATTCTGATTAACCTATTTATGCAGGTCATCATCTTCATCGTCGGAGGAGGATGAAGGAAAGACAGAATTTATAACAACCTTCGGTGGTGATGGTACTGAAGATAAGGAGGAGGAGCGTGATGATGATGACGATGGTGGGGCGAAAATGCATGGTCCAGCGTTACCATCTGCAGAATTCAGGCGTATTTTGTGAGTTATTTCATTTCTGCAATTTACGTCAACTAGAAATACTTATGTTGTTTCCGTAAGGATATTTATAATTTTTGGATATTTTAGTGAATTGAAAACACGTCGTTCATCAAGTCCGGAAGATTTCGGGAATGTTTCAAGAACTCGCGTGCGTAGTAGATCTCCCGGTCGAAAGCGATTTTTACGTTCCAGTCGTGAACGTACTTTAAGGTCAAGAAGTCGGGAGAGATTACGTCGTTCTAGAAGTCGGGAACGGCACGATCGATCGAGGAGTTCAAGTAATGGAAAAAGACGGAGATGTAGCAAGAGCAGAGATAGGCTACGAAGCCATAGCCGTGAAGATGATCGGCCTTTCGAGTATGTTCGTTCAAGAAGCAAAGATAAGAAACGTGAAGATGTCAAGATAAAACAAAGGTTAATAATTCAAAAATTATTTCTCTTGGTGATCAACCTTTTTTAATTTCCTAATATGCCATATTGAAGAAGGGTTCATATAAGTGCAGGTCTTTTTAGTTGAAACTAATTTATGAGATTTTTTTTAATTTATTAATTACATTTTTCGGACAAAAATTAAAGTTTCTGAGCTGTTCTGAATGGAATCAGAAGCTACTTTTACATTTCAAAGTTAAAGTTTTTCATTTGATTACGATTGTTTCAGTCGTAGGAAGAGCAGTGGTAGCAGTGAAAGTGGTTGTAGCCGTTCTCATGGTCATTATAATCGTAAAAGACGTGTTGGTGAAGGAAGTGACAGGTGCTTTTTATTGTTTTTACTTGGAACTTGTCATTATTTTGTTGCTTTTTTATTTCCTTGCATTAATTTTCTCTTTTAAACTATATTAATTTGAAGGTTTTAATTTTATATAAAGATTTTAGAATTTTAGATTTAGATTTATAGAAATCAGCTTAACTTTTTCAGTTCTAAAAGATTCAATGATAAGAAGCGTCAAAAGCGTCGAAGGAAATATTCGTCTTCAAGTGATACTAGCCGTACACCACCACCATCATCACCACAAGAGAGAAAGGTTAGCATATATGAAAGCTTTCAATCGCATGTATTTGCAGACTTTGTTCTTCAGATGCCTTCTATTCATCTACGTCGGAGTGTGTTAACTCAATTTCACTTATCTTAGCAATTTTTCTAATTTGTAATCATTTTGACATTGTATCGCGATGATTATTCGCTGTAAATTCCTCCTTTCTTTATTTGTTTTTTACTTGATTTTAATTTTCTAAATATATTACTTTGCGGAAAAGTTATTTGTTCTAGGGCACTGGTTCAGTTCTTTCACCAAGTCGGAGTAATGGCGACACTTCACCTCTAGAAATTCGTTCAAGTATGAGTGAATCAGAGAAGGAACGTATTGAAGTGGAAAATCGGCGTCGACGAATACGTCGAACGGCAAAAATGCATCGGTATGGATTTTTCTCTGCTTTAATTTTCTGTGAAAGATCTTGAATTCGCCTTATTTTTTCTTGCATATTATCAGTGATGCAGTTCGTTTTACCTTATCTAGTATGTTAGAAAAAGTTATCAGTTATTAGCTGAATGACACGTCATTCTTTACTGCTCGTGTCGCATCGGTTTATTCTTTATTTAGTTGTTATAACGGTTCTATTTCCATTTTTCGCATGCTTCATTTTTGTCAAATAGTTCCTTTCCAAAGATATAAAGACTTCAAATAATGATGCTTGGAAATGACCATCAATTTTTTCCGCTGCAAAAGGTACAGTATTATTTCATTGATATCATAAGTTTCAGACAACAGTATGGAAGTAATCATCATGACCGATCATCGGAAGATGAAGCTGAACATGTAAACTATATAGCTTTTTTTATAGATTTCTTTGAAGATTTATTAGATACGAGTAAGAAAATGCTTTTAAGAAATATAGAATAGGTTTCATAAAGCGATTTTCATATTCCATGCTTGCTTTGTTTCAGAGAAATGTTCCGATTTGAGATAAACTTCTAAAATTTCAGAAAGCTGCCCTTGCTCATAAACTTCGTACGCAAATGCAGCGAGTCTTACGTAAAACGGCGGAACAACTAAAAGAAGAGGAAAGGCAAAAACATGAGGAACATGAAAAAGAAAGAAGAGTAAGTGTGCTATGTTTTTTTCGGTTGAATTGATGAGTTTAAATTTCACAACTGCTTCATTTTTCATCAAAATTTAAAATTTTCTGCTCGTAAATTCCTTTGTATCTTCAGTTGCGTGAGGAAAGATTATTTGAAGAATCATTGGAAATCAGGAGACGGTAAGCTATTGTACAAAATTTAATTTTATAAAGTCTTCGTGAAAACATATATATGGACATGTTTAGATTGTTAATAAAAACTTTGGAAAAAAAGAAATAGTAGGTACTTACTGCTCTTGATTTTGAATATAGTTCTTTATATTCTTAGATAGCTGTGTCAGTGGGAATCCTGCCTATGTCCGGAAGAAGTATTGAATAACTAGAACTCTTTTTCATTGCCTCTTAAATAATTATAAATTGTTACAATAAATAGATACAACTTAACGCGCTTAATTTCGCTATTCCATTTTAGAGAACGTGAAAAACGTCGACGTGAACGTCGTGGTCGTAGTAGAAGTAGTTCAGCATCGTCAAATTAGACTCCTGTTTTAGAAATTAAAACCATTCATAAAAAGTTTTGCTTTTGTAAACTCATCATTTGTACGGAGTTTTTCACAGTGGTTTATTCGTTGGATCTAGTTTAGGTTTATAATCCAAATGAGAGTTTCGAGCCTCTGCCTAAGCATCAGATGATTAGGACGTTATCATTTAATGTATTATTCATTTTTTTTCTTTTCCTCTTACATCTTGACTCGTCTTGGCTAATTTGGTGCTGTTTTGTTAATGAACTTCGTAGATTCTTTCTCATCTGTAAGATTCTCTCCTCTGGTATCTCGATATAATTTTAAGAGTTTTGATGAATGTTTTGGGAAATGAAAATGTATGGTAAAGTTAAAGGTATAAGTTGTAGTCTGCCTGAAAAGGAAGAATAGAATACCTGAAGAAAGAGGGACTGGGATGGAATGGAAGTACAGGACTATCATTTGCCATAGATGTATTTCAGCAACTGTTTTTCCTTCCTGAGATTCTGTTCCTTTATAGCTTTAATCCCAATTTTTTTACTTTGAATGGAAGATTTTAAGTTTTTGATGGTTTGCTAGGGTTTTTTTCAATTTTTTTCAAAAAGGTTTGAGAAATTGTGAAGTAAAATCTAATCAGAGAGTTTGCTGAGCGCAAAGATTGGCGATCGTGTGGAGATCGCGTATTTTGTTTTCCGTTAGTACTTTCACAATGAGAGCACGATCGAATATTTGATCCAAGCGACTGATAATCTTAGCACATCTCACATCATAAGCTATTGATGTTGACTGTTTTGTTGATGTCATTGATAATGTTACATCATTTCGTGATACCTAAGATCAGTGAAAATTATAATTATTAATATTTGATTTCTATATCATTTGTGAATAAAATTGATATTATACATCTAAGGTTGATGTTTGATAACAAATAATCATGAAAACTACAAATGAATCACTTGTACATTATTAAATTCGAGTTTAGCGAATGAGTTTATGTCGTGTCCATTTAAACATGACATGAATTCATTCAATGCGAAGAACACATCTGTTACGTTCTCCACTGTTGTCTATCCGCCTTACTGATCGCTCAGTTTAAATTACATCTTATTATGATTCGCCTACCATTTTTGACTTTTCTTGTGTTGCTTCTTCTCGTTTTGCTGCGGTGGGACCTGCAATTGCCGAAAAAATTATTTAACTTATGGAAAAATACTGTGGTATTCAAAAATTATGCGGACAAATCGCTAATTTCATAACTGATTGCATTACTATCATTAATTAGAGGGATAATCCGGAAGATTGTACGAAAATGTTTCCCGGAATGATGGTGCTATATTTAAGTTAAGTGGGATAAAAAATGCATTGGGAAATAAAAAATAATGTTAAAATAATCATTATTCGCCTAAATTTGCATTTTGTAAGTTAGACTTTCTTGAACAAAAGTACTGTTAAGGATTCATATTGCTAAAAAGAAATGAAAAAGCATTGATAACACATATATTACAGGAAGCTGTTGGTGATAGCCATCGTTTTGTCAACTCTTCAGGATGAATTAAATTTAGTTCTTTACAATCGGATGCACATTTCACACTAACAATATTATTAGTTAATTCCTTAAATTATTAAACAAAAATGTGATTATCAAATTTTTAACTTTATAACAATATAATAGAATAGTTATGATGAGTTAAATAGTTGTAAACTTTGTTTTTCTAACTGTCACAATCTTGTTCGGTTTTAATCCCTTTTATATTATTGTTTATTGGTTTATGATATATACATATAATAATAGTACCTCATAATTTTAGCTAAGATGTGAAGATGAAGTAATTGCAATATAATGATAAATATTCAACTGTGAAATGAAATTTTTCAAGAAATATGCAAAATAACAATTTAAGTTCGTATTTTACTTTTGCATTTGAAGTTTGCATTGGTATAATTTTTGGTACCAAACAATTCTTTGTAGCAATTTCATCAAATAATGAATCAATCGTGCAAATAATTTCATCTCGACGTTCCACTGTCCAACGCTGTCTACAGCTAGCAACCTGAAATTTGATGATCAATTGGTCATCACTGGGATATACTAATTAATTATCGACCTTTGTATATTATATTAAAATCTCCTACCAAATGAAATAAAAATGATGGCAAAATTTCTAAGACTTTCTATGTTAAGCCGATTGATAATCGAGCAGAATTAATTTCTAATCAGAAGCAGTTAAAAAATCATTGATTGAATAGTTTGTGGATTTGTTCAAAAGCATGCTTTTGTTCAAAAGCATTAATATCTCTCAAAAGCTATATGGTGATGCCTTTCAACTTTTTACGTTCCTTGAAAATACGCTTAACGGAACATGATTACATACTCGAAAACAAACATACGTTATCAAATAAATACCTTAACATAATCTTTATCATTCGGAAGACAATATAAGCGTTGTTGTATATGTTCTTCAATCGGCCAAGAATCATTATTATCATCTAAATATAAAACGGAAAAAATTTTTCATTCATTTAATTTAAATTTCGTTTATACAATTAATAATAATAACAATTAATAACAGAAACAATAATAATGACATACTTTTTTATGTTATGCTATCACTCAAGGTAATTTTTTGTTTACTTTCTATGGATTATATATTTAAAAAAAACATAATGAAATGTATCGCAAATATTTTCATCGGTGTCGGTAAATAAAATTACGAAGTATAAGCTGAAAAGAAAGAATAAATGAGATAAAAGGATCCGAACATGATATTATAGAATTTTACGTTTAACATACGTATAATAGAAAGTTCAGGTAGGAAACGAAAGAAACGATCACGTCCATAATATACAAAATCACTAGTTAACGGACGAAAAATCACGTGAATTCGACGTTCCTTAATTATTCGACGTAGATTTCTAGAATAATAACAAAATTAAATTTTATAATTATTTGATGAACAATATTTTTCTCTTACACCTAAATTATAAATGGATATATTTTGTTTTGTTTGCTGTAAATTATCAGAGAAAATATTAAAAGAAATAAAATTAAAATCGAAAAATTTAAATTTGAAATAAATAAGATGCAATTTTTATCTTTTTTTCTACAAAATATGGCACAAATATTTCGTCGTAGAAAATGATTTTCACTTAAATTTTCCAAATAATTTTATCATATTCGATGGAATAGAAAAAAAGTATTAGAACCAAAAAAAACTTGTAAGAATGTTCTTTTGCTATGTCATCAAATTTATCACCAGATAATACACAACCACCATGACGTTCAGCAAATTCCAACACGTATAAATCATCATAATTGATAAATGCCGGTCGACCGGCACGTGCGGTACGAGCTGGAGTAAATGTTAACACATCCAAACCTTGCAATTTCTGTAATTTTTTCTTGATTTTATTTCATTTGTTTTATTTTTTTCATTATTAATTATAATCCTCTAAAGAAGTTTTCTTATTTCTCTTTATTCTTTAAATGTCTAATTTTTCATATTTTTTATATTTATACTACGAAAAGAAGGCAATATCGAACATTAAAAAATATTGAAGTAAAAAGAAATTTTTTCGATCATTTATTGTTTTTGTTATGTTATTAATTGGTTTTCCTAATTAGTATCCAAAATAATTGGAAATGCATTATTTTCTTAATTACCTAATATATTTTTGTATCGAAATATTTGTAATTACTGAATAATACAAACCGGTAGAACTTGTGAATTGGTTGCATTAAAATTATAATTATTGTTATAAATTACGGGAAGAAATACGACAACATCCAAATCCCGTATAAGTAAAAATCGTATAATTGCCAATAAGCCAGCACAATTAACATTTCCGGAAATTTATTCATGAACGGAGTGAATTATATTAAAAATGCAATATTTACTTTCTAAAGGAAAACCGCTAAAACTCCTATTGTAATTTGAGATAATACCAATAATTAAATCTTAAATTAACAAAGTTTGCAAATTATTGCCTTAGTTGTTGCCGCCTAACTTATTTTGGCAAAACTATTTAAGTTTTTTTCTGTTTCTACCTTATTAAACTTACTCACGATCTATTCCACATGAACTGCGTGCAACATTACAACCATCGATAACAATAAGACGTGGTATAGCGGATTCTGATGGTCTTGCATAGATTCTTTCTCGTATTCGATCAAACGGATACATCACAATACTAGATATATTTTCAAAAATGAATGAATTTTTCATTAGTTAAAAATCAGAATTAGTATCATGAATATCATAATCATCATTCTACTTTTTTTGTTATCCGTATGATATCTATCCTGATAATAATATAATATTTGTCTCAATAAGGAATATCTTATTCGTAATTAATTAGAAATTGCTGATATCGTATTAATTTGTTACTTGTTATTATGATTTTATAATTTATTACTGATTCTTAACATATAATTTGTGCAAGGAATATTTTTCCTTCTTTTACTAAAAAAAAATTTTCATGGCAATAAAATTCTTTTTCTAAATTTAAAAATTATAAAGTTTAGTTCGATAAATTTCTAAAAGTTCGAACTAAAAAAATCGATCAATCATTTCTAATATTATTTGTTTTCAAAAATAATATCTATCCTGACAACAACATAATATTTGTCTCAATGAAAAATTCTGAAAATGAGTAAACACGCATGCATAAGTTGAACCATTTGATTCAGGCGACTGTCAGCAAAAGGATAATTGAAAGGAATGGAATTATATTTTAAATTACAATGTATTTTAAATTCATTGAAAATTTAATGCAAATTTTAGGTTCAAATTTTAAGTGAATTAATGAATAAATGAGGCATTTTTATTTGAGTAATATATGCAATAAATAAATTGCTGAGTTTATTCATTTATACTTCTTTCTATTCAAAAAATACTCAATGATAAGTTTATACATTCAAATCGATTACAATTGTTCAATGATAAGTTTATACTTTCAAATCGATTACAGTTGTTCAGTGATAAGTTTATGCATTCAAGTCGATTACAACTGTTCAATGATAAGTTTATACATTCAAGTCGATTACAATTGTTCAATGATAAGTTTATACTTTCAAATCGATTACAATTGTTCAATGATAAGTTTATGCTTTCAAATCGATTACAATCAATCACATTTTTTTGTAGTATTTAGGATGTCATTCTACAGAGGATTAATTATTGTAAAAAAATATGATAAAGATATAATGACTAATCACGAAAAATATAAAATGGATTATGACAATCATTGATATAATTTAGGTATCCATAATTTCACTAAACAATTACGGAATTTGAATAATTCTACCTGTTGTTGCTAACATGCCGAATATTATGGTGAAATAATTTACCGTATAATTTTAAATTAAAAAAGTAACTCACTGTCATGCAGTGGAATCTATAAATCATAGAACAATTAAAATTCTGATCATCGATTATTATATATACTAGCTGACGATATCTCGTATATTATAGAACTTGAAAGGTTCACAAAATAATATGTCATGTTTTATTACTTAGCTAATATCCTAAATACGGAAATTTCATCTATGACTGTAATAAACGGATATTAAACTATCATAAGAGTTAAAATGCATTTTCAAAAGATCCCCGAAAGAAATTTAAATTTTTTGAAAATTCATATTGTATAATGTAGATTTTCAATTTAAATCTATTAAATAAATTAAAATCTCCGAGAACTCCTAGATCAACCTATATTATAATATTGCTTGCATTTATTAGCCAAAATTAGAAAGATAAAAAATTTTATTTAAATTCTTTAAAAAATTGGAAGCTTTGAAAAAATTTGCTTAATTTAGTTTTGAAATTTGAGAAATATAGTCAAATCCGTAATCCAAAATTCTTTTTTAAAATTCCTAAAATTCGAAAAAAGTTCTGAAGAAATTGAAAATTTAAATTGCACCAAATCGCATTAAATCCTTAAAATTTGGGACCCGCCGAACCTAAACAAACTTCGTCATTTTCGGTAATACTATAAGCTCGTAAACCATTTGATTGATTTTTCGTATCATTCAACTTTCTCGTAACTTCCCATTGTTTTTCTTTTAAATTAAATATTTACTCTATTTGAAATCTATTGATTTTATGCTAATTTTTAATTCTGTGGAATTTCATTTATCATCGATCAAATTTAGAGCTGGCCGAACCTGAATAAACCTCGTCATTCGTCAATTTATATGCATTTATCGACTTTATTTTGACTTTTCGCATCTAATCGATACCATATGTTTCTACATTTTCCTTTTGTTTCAGAATGGAAAATTTGCTCATTTGAAATCTGTCAATTTTATTGTCGTTGAAATTTGTTAAAAAATAAAGTAAATGGATAGTCAGAGTGAAAATTGCCGGTTCATTTTCGTTATCAAATAATTTTCTTCCTTTACTGAACTTTTTGTAAATATAATGTTAGTTGTTGTCGTTTTGTCTGTATGTTTATGTTTAAATTTTATTGTTTTGTTTGTGTGTTTATTTTATTATTTGATTAATCGAGAATTTGAATAATTAGTAAGGAACTCTACTAATTTAATTGCATTGTTTTGTTTAGATGTTGTGGTATCTCAGTTTTAAATAAGCATGTAACTGTAACTGCGCTGTTGAAAGCTACGATGTCACTTTAATAATACAGTAGATACTATAAAAGCGTTAGTACCAACCAGTACCACCCTATCATCATTAGTACCTTCATCATCACTAAATGTACAACGGTACGTTAAAAAAAAATAAATTTAGTGTTGCGGTATTATGAATGGCAATTGTGAAATATGTTTGTTGCTTTATTGATGGTAGATATGCCGTGTTATTAATGGTATGTATAGTATGTTTTCAGTGGATATAAATTAACATTTTCAGAAGTTATAATGACGATCAAGTTATCAACATACATTTGCGTCGTATTATTCGGTTCTACATCATGGTTGAGTACAAATTCTGTATGGATGGAATTACCGTTGCTCACTAAAGAATTGCCGGAAGGATGGAGTTTACCATCGTATCTGACTGTTGTTGTGCAGGTAGGCTAAAGCATATTTAAGTGGCAGAGTTTTTTAGAGTTTCCAGTGCATTTAAATCTTAAAAACATTTTATAAATATGTTTTGTTGATGCCATAAGGTATCCAACATAGCCATTAAGATGTTCGCTTCAACGGTAATAAACCAATTTTGGACGTCAGTTTGAATTTATCCTCTAATCCCTACCCAAGTTTATTCACTTCTGTAGTACAAAAATCCGTATTTACAAGTTCTCCCATTGTAAAAATAGTAAAACAACTTGGATAAAGATTGGAAGATAAAAGATTTCTGATGGAAAGCTTAGAAAGTAGGTTGTGACACTATTTATATATATATATATATATAATCATTCTGAAAAAATTGATTAATTAGTTTGAAACAATTTAATTTATTTCTAAATATGGTAGATAATGCAGGATTAATTAACAACTTTAGCAATAACTTAGATTAAAGTAGTTGCGAAATTACATGTATGATAGATGTGAACAAATGTAATAATTTATGTTACAAGTGGTTCTATTCATATGTGGCATCGAAAAGTTTGTAATAGAAAATAGGATTTCCGTTTGTATCAGTAAGATGCTCCTTGATAAAATTCTCAGCAAATTTCTATTTTTTAAAAAAGCTAAACAGGTCAAGATAAATGCATTATAAGTATTACAATAAGTATAACTCTTGGTAAGTTTATGTATAATGCAGTTAATTGATTAATTCAGAGCCAAAATTATCTTTATATCGTCTAATTTATAACTGGATATTTATACTCATTTTTATTCCTTCCAATTATTTTAGACTGCTTCTATTGGTCCATTGGTTTATAGCATCATACGTAACTTTTCGAAAATATCCATCCCCATACCAGCTGTAATCCTAGCATTGCTTATATTTTGCTGTTCATGTACCGTATTGATGGCACTGTTTTGGTCTCATACAGTCTTCCTTTTTGGTCAAGAACGATCTGTGATACTAATGATCCTACTTTTTGGTACATATTTTACATATTTTTTCTCAAAGTTAAGTACACTTTATGCAAAGGTGATTTAGATGAAGCAATGGTTTAATTATTAGATAATGGTTTTTATTATACAAAGGTGATTTAGAAGATTTAGATGAAGTAATTAAGTAAATTATTATACAAGGTGATTTAGAATGATTTAGAAGAAGATTTAGATGAAGTTTATTATTCTGCAATGTATTAATGCCATATATGGAGAACTTACTGATCCAAGATTGAGTCTGATTTGAAAATGCATATGGTACATTACCTATGAAGTACATAACCCTGGTAAGTGATATGAATCATTAATTTCCGCGAAGAAAGTCTCCTGAAAAAAGATGTATGAACTATCTGATATGAATTGTTTCACTCTTCAGGTATGGCAATAGTCAATGGGACATCAAATGTACTCTTTATACCGTATATGGCTATATTTCATTCTTCTTATTTAACGGCATATTTTGTTGGCATGGGCTTGAGTGCTTTATTTCCGAGTATTGTTTCAATTTTGCAAGGTTCACTTCTTCATAATCCTTATCTTTGCTTCTTAAAAAAAAGCTTTAATGACCAAAATTAAATTTAATGGCCTTCATGGTATTAATGAGCATTTTTAATAGGCAGATTCCCATATCAGTGTTTACTCATACTATGATCGGAAGATATACATTGGTGAAGACTCAGTAAAGGTAGCAGTAAAAATTAAATATTTTATTCGTAGTTCTATTTTACCTCTTATTCATTTTATAGGTAGCGGCAGTGATTGTGTCGTTGTAAATGGAACGTCAATACAAACCAGTGGCATTTTACAATTTGGTGTTGCAGAATTCAATTTTATAATGCTTGGTTGGATGCTTTTCGCTACCGCTGCATTTGTTTATTTGATCTATCATAAGAATGCTGAAACTGCTGAAAAAAAAGAACCTTCAGTGAATCAATCGCCTAGGAAATTATCACTGCCAGTTAATGAACTTAGTGGTTGTGAAGCTAACCCCTTAAGTGTCTGTTTGCTTTTTTTTTATTTTTATATTATTAAAATAGATCTTACAAATACTTTTCCATCTCTTATTGATAATAAAATTAAATACTGAATTCAACCATTCACTAACTTTCAGGAAAAAAAATCCCTGTTTTTAACCATCTATTCATTCATCTAAGACAGTGGTTCTGATCATCCGATTTTAGCTACCCGACCTGTTGCTTGTTGATTTGTTTAAAAGTTCTGATTGGTTTTCGTGTGCGTTTTGCATTCCCCATAATCCCACTTAGATATACAGAGTGCATTTGATTAATTAAATATGTTCATCGAGTTTGCAGTCAAGTCATGAATTGGTTTATTTTTTTCCAGCAATATATTGAAACATGTACTGCTGAAGATAAATCACGCGCTGATAAATTACGATTCGGACTATTATTATTTTTGATGGCTGCCATAAATGCTCAAATGAATGGAATTGTTCCGAGCCTTCAAAGTTACGCATCTTTGCCATTTTCTCAGGTTTTATTTTATAAAGAATTTCGAATCTAATAATATTCAAAATGAATAACGTCATTGTACATTATTCTTTTTTCATTCATAGAATTAAGTTTTTTTATTCTATTAGACTTTATCAGTCTCTGGAATAGATGCCTACGGAATAGTATATTGCTTGGTTGCTTGTATGCCTGCATCAGTTTTGAATGCTATAACGGTTTCCAGAGAACGTTTGCTCGTCGATCTATTTCTCGTCGATCTTTTATTTCATATTTTTGTATATACCGATGCCTTATTCACTATTGCTTTTGGTTCATCCTAACTTTTTTTTTGCAGAAAACATATCACCTTGGTTTAACATTATCGAATATCGTAGCACCTATTGTTTGCTTTTTACCTCTTTTTGTGAAAATTACTCGTTTATCTATATTGGGATCGCTTACGATGGCTTCAACGGTACTAACTGGAATGATTATCATTTTTGCAGCTATGAGTCCGACACCTATTTTGCAATTTTCTATATGGGGATCTGTTCTCATTGTACGTAGTTTTTATAGTTAAACCTGAATTTTCTCCTTCGTATTTTATTTTGAAAGATTTCTGTCCCATAAATTTTATATTTATTTGTTGATTTATCCTTAAATTTCATATTTCAATAAGCTTCAATTTTTTAAATTCAATTTTTTTAATTCAGTTTTTTTTAATTCAATTTATTTAATATGAAATTCAATTTTTAAATAATTTTTTCACATGCATACTAGTAGTGATTGCATGTTTCAGTGTTTTTTCTCTCTAAGGTTTATTTAAATATCTTTTTTTCAATTAGCATTGTTGAAGATAATTTTCCTTTGAATTTCAGTATGTCACAATGAAAGATTAAAATATTGGGAAGATTTTTTTCATATTCGGCAGGACAGGAGACAAAAACATACAAAGCTATAAGTTGTATATTAAGATTGAATAATATTTCATAGTGGGCAAAAATTAGGGTAATAACAATTATGAAGAAGTTAATAAAAACACCGACAAAAGTCCAAATAGATGGATATAAACTAAGAAAATTTTAAATAAGTTTTATCGTTTAATTTTAGATAATCATAGTGGTTTGCTCTGTAGCACTGAATTCATTCGTTCGAACAGTTCTAGCAACAATATTGGGTGATAATGCAACTGACAACGAAATACGGCTTTTCTGGGGTGGAGTATTTATACAGGTTGGTATTCTTGGAGAGAATTTTAAACTCCAGAAATTTAATTTTGCGAATAATTTAGCACTTCCGTGAGTTTTCGCGAATTTTGTAATATATAAATCTTTCGTTAGTGGTATTGTGTACTTTTTTAATTTTCGCTCTATTCCCAATAAGTTTTTGTTGACAATAAGTTTTTGACATGGACATGAAGCATAGAAGAATTCAATAGGGAAAAATTTAAAGATCGAAGGATATGAGAAGTCACTTTAATTTATATTGTTGTGTTTGCTTCATTTAACTTATTCATTTTTTTATTACTAACTTTTTTATTATCTTAAGCTTTATTTTTTCAGCTGGGATCATTTTTGGGTTCTATTCCAATGTTTCTACTTATCAATACGTTTCGTTTATTTGTTTCTGCACCGCCATGTCCATAATTGATGTTGTGCCTGTTAGATTTCTTATTCCATTCTATGTCTTCAAAGACTCTGTATCAGCAATAATCAAGCTATTATTTTGGAAAGTACTTTTTGGTTTCAAGTCGATCCTTCGCAAGTTTTTACTTTTTTTTATCGATTAAGTAATAATTCAACGAACATTTTTAATCCACTTTCCATCAATATTTTCGTAGTATTTTAATTAATGAAAATGAATGCAAGACGTATTGGCTTTGATAACGCAGCGAAATAAAAGATTATCCTCAAAAGGAATAGCTATGAAATCAACTTTTGGTCTCTGCAACGGTCGAAAAACTGTTTGTTGATTCTTAAGTGTATACGACCTTCTAATTCAATCAGTATTAACAGATCTTTCATATATTTTGTCAGTATATTTTTCATTCGAAAATTTTTTTCCGGATATTTTTCTTGTCAATGTATTTTTGGGAAAATCACGTTATTCATTCCAAAATTTTCTCTTTCACTTCACGCTGTCTTTAATTTATGTTCTTTCTTTTTAGAAACAATTTCGCTCAGGAGCATTTGACTTTAATATTGTTAATTATTTGCATTACAATATTCTGCCTCTTTGCTCGATTATTGTTCCTCTTAGTGTTCCTATTTTTTGTCATGGATTGTAAATCGAACAGATTTTGGAATTTAAATTTTTTGCCAAATTTTTGAAAAATGATGCGATTTTCTTAACTTTCCATCAATTCAGTGCTTTCATTAGAATGTTTGAAACTAAATCGAGTTATTAGTAAGATGGGAAATATTTTCAAGTAGAAAAAGTGCAATGAGCGTTTTGATTATGCAACTTTGTATGCCCATGATTAGATATGTTAATCATTCATAATTTAAATAGAGGTATATTTTTTCTGATATATGACAATTCTGAGGGACTAAGGAGCATTACATCGCTTTTACATATTGTTATATCTATTAAAATATTGTTGAAAATTAATAAAATTTCCTTCAATCATCTCAGTGAAGTAAAAGCATTAAATATATTGACAGTCAAGCTGTAAATATTACAATTAACAGTAAAATATTTTTCATTTATCCTACTTTACTTTTATAATTTAAAAATAACATAATAATTTTTCTGAAATTATCATTAATAAATTATCATATAATAAAGTTAGGGATGATTGCATTGTTGGAAGGTTATAAAAGTAATTTTATTCCATCCAAATGTATCATTTCAAAATTGTTTCACAATGTGAATTGTATTATTTTTTTGAAGATAAGAAAATGAATTGGAATTTGAGACTTTAAATATTAAGATAATAAAATAGTTTTAACATTTGAAGCTATATTTTCTTAATATAGTTATTATAAGCTATAATATTAATATAAGCTATAATTATTTTTTTCTTTTTTTAGATATATATGCTTCTCTTTTTTGTATTTTATTATTTCTAATTTAGTTTGTTACTCCAAAATATTTCATTAAATCGGAAACATCAAAAAAAAATAAATGTATGAAAGATATACTTTAAGTTATATCATAACACAACGGTATTTGAATAATTCAACTTATATTGAAACAAATTTATATTGATTTTGTTATAAGCTACTGGTATAAAATATGAATTATTGTGATTTTTTTCCCTCTTCCATCAATTATTTTATTATTAAGATTAATAAATGGAGCAAAAGTTAAAAGACTGGCAATAAATTCATTCAACGATATTCACAACCAATATTTTGCATAATTTATCGCCATAAGCAGAAAAATGTCTGCATCAATGTATCAATTGATCAATTGATATTCGGAAAATATTAGTACCACTCGAGGAAATGTTAATTTTTTATTCTAAAATTTGTTAATATAGAAAAAAAGATTTATATCGTCCTTTGTTTAATTCTTTTTCATTTACAGTTTATTCTAAACACTGATTGATTGTATTAGTTATCTGAAGATATGATGTCTGAAAAATCATGAACTCATCATTTATTGAATTCGTTAACGTTAGTTTATATGAATTAGCATGTTTAATTCATTCACCGCTATATGAAATACTTTGTTTCCATTAGCGTAAGCAAATTGCGATATTGTGTTTTCTAAATGTATCAAATTATGTAATAAATAAATAAAGCGACCAACAGTACAAACATGTTAGATTAAGTGAATCTATAATATTAATATTATTAGAATGAATTAGTAAAAAGATGTGAAATACTAGATGTGGTAGTAGTAGAAAGGAAAAGAAAGATCAGTAAAATTAGTGAAAGGATTGAGATAGAAAGCGAATCAGAATGGGAAATAGAAGATCAGATCCTAATGACGAAAATATATGAGAAAGGGAAATAGAAAATTTATTCAAATTACTGAGTGCAATTACTGAGAACTAAATTGAGGTATTAAATTTCTAAGTAAAAAACTGAATGCAGCTTATATTGCTTGTTAGCAACTGCAAATAAATCAATAATTAGAGTAAGACATTTAAAATAAGTCAAATTGATTGCAATAATGGCAAATAATTTGAAAATGTTTTTTATTACTTCTCATTCTTATTAACAGAAAAAAAGAGTTTGTGTAGTTTTGCTTAAAATTAGTTTACTTCAACTATTCCATTTATAGTAAACTAAAATAAGAATTTTTGGAATGAGTTTAAAAAGTAATTAAAAAAAAGATATATTATAGAGAAACTAAAAAATCAGGACTAAAAGATAGAAAGAATGAAGATAAAAGACAAAGAAAGAGGAGTAATAAGTAATTGTTAATTTGATTAATTTACCTATTTATCTGCTTGTTATTTTTTTCTACCCGATATCTAAGGTAAGGTAAGGTATAAATGAGAAATAAAGAATGTAAAAGAAAGAGATCTGAAAAAAAAAACCTCTTATAATAGTTATTTCAAATCATCAAAATCACAAAAACTTTAGGAATCTGAAACGTCGATTTGCATAATGGGTTATTCTTGCAAAACATCAACGCGATTTCGAGTCCGAACATACATTGTGTTAATTGCGTGAGGCTGCGTGTTCGTAGTACACGTAGTGATTTACTTTTTTGCTTGGTAAATTCCTTAATGGGAAAATGATTCGTGCATATAATATATATTTTATGTCAAGGTATTGTTTAAATGATTGCTTTTTTTAGAATGTGAGGGATTTTTAGATTTGGGAATATATATCGGTTAGAGAGTTATAGTAATACAAAGGAAAACAGAGATAGCCGAGACATAAAAAAGTGGTACATTGAGAGGAATCAGGAATTTGTTTCAATTTTTCGTGCTTTTGTAACAGTAAAAAAGTATTTTAAAATGCGTTACAACAGAAGATAGCAGAAAGTGATAGGAAATGTGGGAAATAGTGCCATTGCGATAGGTCGTGAAAATACGTGGTTAACAATTATTCCGGATTTATATGGGTTTTGTTGAGGTAAACAGACTCTTCAGTGTAAGGAAAAAGATGATACTAAATTTTGATCCTGAAGAGGCGGCATTTTTGAATTCTATAAAATTGATCAGGAAATAACATTACGTTGCATATGACAAGCACATCTAGTGATATTGTAAAGAAAAAAATAACAAGCAGAAATAGAAATAATCCTGAATAAAGAGCGAATGCTCTTTGTTTAGGATTATTTCTATTTTCGACTAATATAAAATAAGATTACCAAGATTTTATGAAACCGTTTAACTGAAAAAAAATCTTTTAGTTAATGTTCATATATGCGAAATATTATTTTTCACTACTTACCTGACGTTGTTAATGTATTCGAACTATCTTTCTTAACTTTATTCAGTTCGCTCTGGTAATACGTTTTTTCCTCACTTTTTTTCGTTTAGTTGTAATATCGAAAGTCGTTACAGCCTTTTGCGAATTTGATAGCGTAATATGAATACACTTTTATTTTAGGGGTTGAGTGTATTGTCGTTTTTCTCGGGCTGGAAAAGCAGTGATGGATTCTAAGCAAGATCCGACCAAAATTGTATTACCGCCTGCAATTCGTGTATCACCGCTTTTGCGGTTCATGCGTTATTCTTTTCTTGGTAACTTCATAGATTCACATAAATTAGTAGTTTCAAGTTTAGCTGTAAATGCTTTTGCTTCAAATCCTAAGATTAATTTTGCGAGCAGAAACCTTTGAGAAATGCACTGACATCTAAGTGAGCTGAGGGAATTTGATTCGGGTCTTCGTCTCACAGTTTCGTTAGCAGGCTGAAATCAGAGTTCAAAATAATTCAAGGATTGGGTGTTGTTTGGGGATTTTTCCGTTATCGAATGATTTGCGAGAAACATGCAGCTGTGCGGCAAAAAGAACATGACGAGAAACTTGAGAAAGCAGAAAAAGAACGCATATTGCGCAAACAGCAAGCAGATAAAAGCTTATACGATATTTATTTGGTATGCTGTTAAAATTTTTTCAGATTTTTAATCATATTTCAATAATGTGTTGTGCAAAAATGTCTTTCATGTCAACGTTGACGTTAACCAGATTTTTAAAATTCAAAGATATCGCCTTCTGAAAAGAGTAAAACTTGTAAGATTGTATCCACTTACCATATTGCGATGAAATAAGGCCTTCAGCTTAATTACTTTTTGTCCATAGAGTAATACTTCAAAATAACGGAGAGAATTTATATTAGAAACTATGGATTTGATTTTTATATTCATCCTCTTTTAAATTCTTTTCACTTCAAATAGTATAAGGGAAATTATATCATTTAAGGTATGTGGAATTTATATAATAAGTTCGACTCAAATCATATACTATCAAATGCATGAACATGCTCAATTGGAAAGAAGCACAGTTATTATATTTTTGCTTTTTCTAGGTGCGTAAACAAATCCTACTCTCACTAATTTTTAGAACATTCTGGAAACCGATCTGGATGAAGGCGGTTCACTGTTTGGTAGCGTTCGAGAATAGTGGGAAAGAATCCTCTACGAAAATTTTTTTGCAATCTGATAGATTATAATTAAAAAAATATAGGATGCTAGATATGCGAGAATAAAATCCTCGGTTGATCTGGCATGTGCATGCCATTTCTCTTTTGCATTATTATTGTAATATATAAATAAATTTTGACTGTTGATGCATGTAAATAAACTATGCAACTTCTAAAAAGACACCTTCATGAGAGAAATCACGATCAAATGTCTCTCATAGCCGGTTAAATCAGCTGTGTATAGATATGCAAATAATTTCAAACCTCCTGACCAAGCATCGGATGGCAGAGCTGGTAATTTTCAGAAGTGGTATTCAAAATTGTATAGCGAGTAAAGTATGATACCAAAGCGGAATGTTTCAGTGTCGCTGATATCATCCCAAGAGCATGTCGATGATCTATTTCTGAGTCATGTCGCTGACACTGTTTCGGGCGGCATGGTAAGATGAAACCAAAATAATTGTTAACATTATTCATAATTATTGTGTTTTGAAGAGTTTAATGAGGGCGAGATGGCCGAGTGGTCTAAGGCGCTGGTTTTAGGCACCAGTCTCTTCGGAGGCGTGGGTTCGAATCCCACTCTCGTCATAACGTGGTTTGTGTATGCGCCCAACTTTTCGAAACTTTCCTTATTACTTAGTTGCCAAATTAAAGCAAAACCACTATTTTATCATCCGGTGGTTTTCTAAAAGAATAATATTTTACATATGGTGGGACGAAATAATTTCATTGATAATGCATGAATTCCAATATATTATTTGAAATGTTCAAATTAAAAAAGTTAGAAATTAATGTTCGAAATGTAATTAAAAAAATTGGTATATTTATACAAAAGCAATTGGTTTAATTGCATGAAGGAAATTAATTGAATCTATAAGCGATCTATTGTTGACAGCTCACCTTCTTGTATTAATGAATTTATTGCTAATAACGAATGCTACTATGAATTTCGTGCAGAAAAGTAAAAAGCAAAGAAGTTGCAAGATAATGAAAATTGATGAAATTCAAAAATTCAAAGAGCAATTAACATTTAATATTTTTAATACTATTTAGTTTAGATGAAATCATTTATGACGGACGAAATTGCTTATTGCCTTCTTACTTCTTCCTCTTTCATATTTCTCTTAGGTGAAAGAAAGATCAGGCTGGCTTATGGATGGAGGAAAAGTAACGTGATATTTAAAGTTTTGCTTTTATTATGGCATATATGAACGCGATTATTTTCCATGTAACTTGTAGCAATTCAGAAATTTTTCAATTAATTTAACTTTTATTTTCAAAAATTTTTTCTACTCATTTCATATTATTACTCTAAATTGAAATCCATTTCAATCCTAAAATACCTCATAATTCGAGAAATACACAACAATCCTAACTGATACTAACTGATACTGATTAATTTTTCTCTTTTTCCTTCTTTCCAACATTGCTAATATAAAAAAGTTTTATTGTGATTTTATTTAATGAACAAAATTTTATGAAATATATTCCAACTTCGTCTTCCTCTTATTTTTCAAGTAATTCCAAAGGAAATAAAAACTGAAAGCAAGCCTAGCAATAATAGAAGAGCCTAGCAATATAATTGCAAAAGTATCAAATTGAAATTGCTTGATAATTTGATTTACAAAATACGAATTCAATCGTTCCCATTTTTTCTCCTTCCTTAGAACAGAATGAAAGATTGTCAATGATGATCTGGAAAAAAATATTTAAAATCAAATTTTGGATAAAATTAGAGATTTATAAATTACTTAAATAATAAAAATAACAATTATGGCTGTAATTAGCAAGGATAATATTTATCATAAGCATATAACCATCTATGGCAGTGTTAATTAATTATTTAGATATTTTCATTAAAATTAATTAAGAAGTTTTAAATCGTAGTGATTACTGCTTCTCTCTTTTTACATTATGGGAAAACGAAATTTCTAGCTGTCCAATGAACTTCCACTATTTTTTGGTTCAGAAGTCTCGTCAAAACCATCATTCTCACTTTCACTTTCCTCATCTTCATCACCATTATCATCACCATCACCCTCGTCATCGTCATCACCGTCATCGCTATCATCACCATCGTCACGATCATCACCATCATCATCACCACTATTGCTATCATCATTCTCATGAAAATCACTACCGTAATCAATATCGTTATTATCGTTATCATCATCATCATCATCATCATCATTATCATTACTATCAATATCATTATCTCCGTTAACATGTTCTTTCCTTTCTTTATCATCGCTATCCAATATAAATAAACTATCGCTACTGGTTTCCGTTTTAGAAGTTTGCTGAAAAAGTGTTTAACATAAAATATTATAAAGTGAAACTTGAAAGTTTAGTTTAAAAAAAGAAGCAAAATAATATAGCCAATGAGAAGTATAGAATAATATTAACTCAATCCTAAACTATGCACCTCTTCAGTTTTGCACTGCATTAGGCTAATCAAAGATCAAGTGGTCTATCATTATCAGAAATCTCAGGAAATCAAACCATTATTTATGATTTCAGATTATCTAAATGATAGAAAATAATATTCGAAGATAACCTACAGTTTTATTAATACTTTGATCTAACGCGGAAATTATCACTGATTGTTGATCAGAATTAGTTATCGCCATCCGTTGTTTAAATCTATTTGAATATTGATTTTGCATATTGATTTTTTGTGTTTTATCTCGTGCACCTGTCACGGTTTCCTTGTACTTCCGCTCGAATCTTAAATTTGATCATTTTAGGAAAAATGATATTATAATAGGTGAAAGACAAATTGAAATTTGATATTATCCAACTTATTATTCATTCATTAAAATGAAAATTTCCCTATTCCATATCACTAACAAATGACATTTAGCAACAAAGATGAAATATTTTGTGACCTTTTTAACCTCTTTGCTTTAACTTATTTAAGTTAAGATAATGATCCATGTAAACAAATGTCAAAAATGTTATTAGGCAAATAATATCAAGAGTTTTCATAATGTGATGGCATTGTAATGCAATATTAGCAGTGGATGATTAAGCAAATTATTAACACGCAGTTTTTATTCCCTGATAACTAATGTAATTAATAGTAATTAAGAAAATTATCATTGATGAAAAGCACAATAGATTGTAAATAAAAAATCCGGATCCAGAAAAGATTCATAAGTTGAATAATTATTAAAATATTTCAGCACATTTTTAATTTGTTAATCCGTTTTGTTCGATTTAAATTTGCTTATATTATAAGCATCGATACCATGCAAAATTAACTTATAACATTTATAGATAGAATGACATATTTAACAAACAAAATTTTGATAATTTAATTGTAAACAAAAATAATTTGTTGATCTAAACAATATCAAATATATAAATTAAATTTACATTTAATAAAAATGGATGAATTTGAAAAATGAGGAAAAAAGTGAAGTACCGTTGCATTTTAATTAGCATTTCTTGTTGTTCAACAATAAGTGCCCGTGCTCGAACTCGTCGTTTCATTGCTTCCAATTCATTACGATATTCATCTGCTCGCTCTTGTTGTTTTGTTCTACATTAAATTAAAAAACATCAAAAATAAATCCAAGTAGTCGGAAAATAATAAAAGCGTACAAATGTAGGCAGCTTTCCATCCTCGAAATTGCGGAAGGAACGTTAAATGAATTAATGAATTAGGAAAATTTTCATTTCCTCATTCTATTAAATATTGACTGATTAGATAAACAAAAAGATAAATAGATTATAGCAGTTGTAAAATTTGATGCTAAATATGCTAATACGTGAGAAGTCTATAAAAATTTTACAACAACAATTGTGACACATGTTTAGTTTAAATCGCCTACAAAACTCAGCCCTGATCCGTTTGTTTTTTACTTCCAATCAAATTGACTAATCGACTTCTCGAGAGTTACTTCCAGCATTTATTGTCACACATCTTCTGCTACTAATTCATCAAACAATTCTATTGCCAATTTTCTCAACATTTATTGTAATTCATTTTTTTCGTTTACCTATACCGCTACAATGCCTTCTTTGCAATTTACAGTAATTCAAAGTAATTTTTAAAATTGAAAACTTCGATCATTTACATATGTTTGAGGAAAAAAATATTATCAAACAAAAATGTTTTGATTCAAAAATCTTACATCGAACATAATAATTTCATGAAAGTTTGCATTGGATGGATTCAGAATCATTCCAAAGAATCTGAGAACAAAACTAAAATTCACATTGCTTCTAATATAATTTATTTTAATAGTAAGAGTGGAAACATAAAGTTTACTTTTTCTCTTTCAATCGACGTTGAATATCACAAATTGTCGTAATTTTCGTTGCTAATTTCTGTTTCAATTTTATGCGTGCCAAATCACTTCGTTTTCTCATTAGTTCCCAAAATTTTTGCGAACAATTTTGTTCAGTTTCCATTTTTTGGGTACGAATCCTTCAAGCAAACAAAATTCTCTCCCATAATCGGTTTTTAGTTACTATCATCATTATTATTTTTTATTATTATTATTATTATTATTTATTATTATTATTATTAATTATTATTATTAATTATTATTATTAATGCTACTATTATTATTATTAATATCATTCCTGTTATTTATTATTATTTAAATTACCATTATTGTCATTGCTATTATTATTATTATTATTATTATTGCCATTTTTACTTTTGTTATTATTATTTGTCAAATTTTTTAATTATTGCTTTATTTTTATTTAAATACGTAAGTACCGATTAGCTTCGCTACGTAGCAAAGACGCGTGATTGAGACGTATTTGAGGTCCGTTGTATTCTCGCAAATTACCTGTCGAATAGCTACGACGATTTATTCTTGGCAACAAATCCTCATGAAAGCACTAAAATTTTGTATTCTATTAACTTAATGATAAAATTTTTACGATACATAAACACTAATTACAGCACAACGAATAATGAATAGATTCGTATTGTCTTTATGAAAAATAAAAGTGAATAATCATTTAGCATAAAATGTTTTATTCGATATAAAATATATGAATAATATTAACATATTTTGAATAAATAATCAACTAAACGATTATCATCTAAACCAAAAAACATAAAACAATGATTGATTTGAAAGAAAAGATGAAAGTAAACAAACTTTATGATTCGTTTTTCGTTCATCGGTTTGAAAGTAAAAGGGTGTCACGACAGTTGTAGGACGATTTGCTGCTGCTTTTTCTAACTTATTTAATAATTGCTCATGCAATTTTTTGAAATCTGGTACCTAAAATTTGGATAATTTGAGAAGTACAATTGATGATAGGGTGATCGGTTGGTAATTGCTGTTTGAGTGATATGAAAATTATATGCGATCATGCATTGTACTTTATGATAAGATGAAAATTAATTCTACTCTAAATGATAAAAAATAGGAATAAGGAGTGAAGGAAAGTAATTAGACGAAATTTATGATTAATTATTTAACTTAATCTATGATTAATTTTCTTCTCAATAAGATTTATTCATCTTTGTTATATGCTATTATTTCATTGCGACATTCTTTAAAAATTAACCAACTGTAATCCAAATAATTAAATTTTAAATTGGTTGAAATTATTAAGTATAATTAAAGTGAAATATCAATTTTGTCCTATAAATCGAAATGGCAATATTGAAAATTAATAATTTTTTTCAATTTTTAATAACAGTAATTAAAATGTAAGAAAAATTTTTTGTTTATCAAAAAACTGTTTTATTGTTTAATAATTATCCAATTATTGGAATTTTCACTTTGATTTCTTTAATTACTATTAGAGAAGTATAAAATAAACATACAGCTCGTGAATAGCAAACGTTATGTTTCGGTTTCTGTTCCATCCAATGTTTTTTATGTCGAAGATGATATTGTACTTTTGATTGTATCGCATGTTTCTATAATTAATTATTTATTTCAAATTTTTGATTAATTGAAATTAATTAACGAAATTGATAGAAGATTTAAATTTACATAGTACGCTACATTTCAATTCAACAATTTATAATCACGACTATTTCAAGATAGTTATAACACTGACATTTGTAGATTGGTGTATATCATGATTAGTAGTTTTTCATAGCATCTTTTCATCTTACATCTAATTAATAATTTATGATAAATTATTTATCAAAGATTAGAAACATTATTCATTCTGGTTTTCTTCGCCTTTTTATTGCAATGTATTTATGTATTTCTTAAAATAATTTATTAAGTAAGACAAAAATTTGAAATTAATTTTTTCTTTTATATTTATGTTATTTTAAAGAATAAATTTGATGAACACAAGCATTTATGATAAATAATTAGTAAAGCATTAATTATAGGAATAGAATTTGAAGAATGAACATTAAATATAAATATGGATATAATTTTTCGTCTTTTCCTTTCCATTAGTTCTAAATCCATGTATATATTTTGCTGAATTATTTTTCCAACGTTCGTTCAATTTGCATATACTTTTATTCATTTTCATTTTTTCATTTCCAATTTCTTTCTTTTCCTAAGTTACAATCATTACCTTGATCAGTAATTTATTCATTTTAATTTAAAACTTTTTCATCAATTTCGAATTTTTGACTATCTCCATAAAACTATCGCAAAGTTTTAATTTGAAATGAAAAATACATTAAATTGATGATAAAAGTAATACCTCAAGCCCCGGTGGTGCACGACTTGTTCGAATTAATTCAGCTGCTCGTTCCGTCTTCCGACGTGCCCTTTTACATGCTTGAATTTCATCTTTGTATGGCTGTACATAGACGCTAAGCGGAACTTCCTTTGCTTTAAAAGCTTCTCGTTTATTCCAGTCGGATGCTTCCGCACTGATACATCGTCGTAAATGAAAGCTTTCCGTTCCAAACGTTGCATTCATTCGTGGGATGCATACTTTTTCAAGCATTTCTACTGCCTTTTGATGTCGTATCTGACGAGCCTAATTTACAAAATTTTTTTGTTTCGAATCACCTGTATCGTTTATGATAACGTTCTTCAGACAATAAAATCTCAAACTATTTGTTCTGAATTAATAAAAGCTTAGCTTATGATACACTGAAATCATTCTTATAAATTAGTTGCAATACTTATCAAATTTAAATAAACCAGTTTTCTAATTTGCATAATATACAATTTAAAAAAAATTTTGAGAAAAGAATACATGTTCTTCTTTTTCACATAACTGTTGATAGCGTGGTTCATATGTGGATCGTGGTACCATTCGTGCTCTATTCCTGCAATTTAGATAAGCACTTTTAGCCTAAATATTTTCAATGATTTTCTATTCTTTCACTAAATAAATGATTAATGTCACATAATAATAATAATAATATATGTATTAACTGGAAAGAATTTTTTGATCATTACAAAATCATTTTAAAATTTCTACCGAAGATATGTTATTCTTTCTTTTTCTTCAACTTCTTCAATCTTCTTCTTCTCCATTAATTCATTCATAAATCGCCAGGAATAAAATGTTCGAATTGATTTCGCATTATTCCTTAATATATCATTATTATTCTATCTCTTAATTTTTCTTCTCTCTCTTTCAAATATAGTTAACGTTTTCGAAAATTATCAGTGAAAAAGAAATTTGAAATAATTTCTAATGTAATTATTTTTTATTGTTTTTTTTTTTACAGCTAAATCAATGATTGAATTTATAAAATTAATTTAAGGTATAATTACCTTACGTGTAACTTTTTGGTAATACTTGTGCTATTAGCAATTTGTGGTGACCATTTGTTAGCATATTCAATTCTTCCTTCTTCAAGTATCTTATGTTTTTCAGTTTGAATTGAACGTAAACATTTGCTTTCGTCATCAATAATCCAAGCATCTTTTCCGTTATTTGTGTTAATTGAATTCCATGAATTAGATAAAACTATGCTTAGTATAATAGGGAATAGTACAGATAGGAAAATGTTAAAAATATAACAAAAAATTTAAATAAGTCAGTATAGCAGTAAATATTACAATTATAATAAAACAAATAATATAATTTACACAATATAATAAATAAAAATATAAACAAGAAAACAAATGAGGTAATATAAGTATTATAATAAATAATAATGGAAATGATATAATTATAATTCAAATATAAATACAAAATGAATACATATGCAAAAATAAGTGTAAATCCCATAGATCTGTAAATAAAACAATAATATGAAGAATAATTCTGTAATTAAATATAAAAAATGATATAATAAATTATATTGAAATATAATAATAATAATAATAATAATAATAATAATAAATTATCATAGAATATAATAATAATTGATATTAGACGACGGTATAATAAAGTGTAATATTCGATATATCATCACCGTTTTAGTAAGTGATTCTTTTCTCTATAAATTTATTCCAGTTTGCATAAATTGAAGAACTTTCTTCTTTCATTTTTTTCTTTCCTACCTTGAAATTATTAATTCTATCCAATTCGTTTGTTATGCATAAAATACACAATTCAAAAAATGGTACAGATTTTTTAAAAAAATATTCGAATCTCTCTTATGGCTGCTGTCAACTAAAATACTAAAATATTATTAACTCTCTCTCTCTCTCTTTCGCCGTTTCTCTCTAATTCACTTCTTTCTTTATTTCTTAACATTGATATTTTGCAATAAAAAGTATTTCTTTTATACGAATTTTTCATTTTTCATTCTTATAGACTATATTGATACCTCAAATTATTTATCATTCATATCACTACGCACAGCTACTCGTTATCATTATTATTTTCATCAATATTAATGGCATAAAATTAATGATAGATTTAGTGTAAATTGTACCATAACATTGTTGATCAATATCAGTATGGGAAAGTTTTATTGATGAAGTTAAGTTGGATGAAGAGGTTACGTTGTACATTTCATCAATTACTGCAAATGCCTTCTTATGTTTTTGTCGTACATGCATCAAATACATCATAAAATTTGGATCTTTTAAACGATTTTCATTCTGAAATTACAAAATTTTTATATTCTTTTTTCATTGTTATAGTTAACAAAAGCTTTGATTAATAATCTTTTATTTGATCCATTAATAATTAATTAATTATTTATTAAATGCATATTATCATAATTTGCATCGTATCCGATGATGTATAAGCTAAAATAGCTAAATTTGTGAAGAGATTAGAAGCGAATATGGTTTTAGGATATTTGTAAACAAGAAATTATTGACCTGTAAAACAGCATCCAAGAATTGGTCAGTAGCATTTAAAGCTCTCTCCATTTCTTCCATCATTTTTTTCGTATTAATTCAATTGAAATTCATCGAAACTTTACTCAAAGGAATTTAAGAAAAAAAAATTTCAAAAGTTAAAAAACGATTTTACAGCTGACGCAAAAAGTACGTAAAGTGTAATTATTGAAATAAACGGATTGCTTTTGAAATGGACAAAGAAAAAGTAAGAAACATTACAGCTTCTAGTCTTTCTATAGTTCTAGGCCATACACTCATTATTTCATATTAGGCACAATCAAACATTTGCAAAGGTTATTTACAGTTTTTAACGATCATAAGTCATTTTGTTCGAATATTTCTTTGTTCCAGTAATACTAAATTAATCTGTGGAAGTTTCCAGACTTAAGTTAACTTTAAAAAAAAGAGACATTGTCGGTTTTGTGAACTGAAAAAGATTAACGTGGAAAATTTTCAAATTACACCTCTCCTACAATCTTATCTTTCTAAATTGGCTGAAGCATAAGTAAAACATAAACCATATTAAGTAGAAAATATTTAAAGGCGCATTTATCTTGTAGTTTTAGCTTTATTATTTCGTTGAAGCAAATAGAATATAAACAACATTAAGATATTAAATATTTAAAGCATACTTATTTTACAATTTTGAATTAATGCGACTTAAATTAGAAGTGTACCGTTTACAATACATTAAAATAATTATGTTAAAATTTTAATTAAATAAAATTAAGCCATGTCACATACATTTAAAGTTATAGTTAAATTAAAATATAATAGTAGAAAGAGAAATTAGCTAAACGAATTGTTTAGTGGCAGTGGTTGTTGCCGTGGTGACCGTTACCGTTCCACTACGTATCGATTCATAGTATATATCCGGCAAAAATATTTCATACCTTTTCCGATAATTCATTCTTTTTAATAAAGAAAAAATAATAATAAATTATTATATATTTTGAAATTATTCCTTTCTTTGATAAATTTTTTTTTAGAAGTAAAATATAATTATTTTGATGAAAATAAAGAAATTTATGATTAATGCTTATCGAATGGATTTAGGCAAATTTTCGTCATTTAATTTGTTTAAGTCACGAATTCAATAGCACAAATTATTATTATTATTATTATTATTATTATTATTATTATTGTTATTATTATTATTATTATTATTATTATTATTATTATTATTGAAAAATGGAGTACCATAACGAATTGCAAAATTTCAGTATAATATTATTATCTCTTTTGCATAATGTCTTCTATATTCAATCCAA